TGCGTGCGTGCGTGCGTGCGTGCGTGCGTGTGTGTGTGTGTGTGTGCTGAGCCTTCTCTCTTCCTGCCAAGCTCTCCTCTCTGGCACAGCCTACTTGGGTATCACCTCCCAGACCAACCTTGCCAGTGTTTCCATGGCTCATCAGCCAAAGCCTGCATGAAAATAGCAAGGGTCCCCCAGGCAACCACAGCAGCAATCGGTAACCAGCCTGGGCATTCTGGGAGGAAAACAAACACTGCCCTTGCTAGTGATCTTGGCTGCCCAGGGAGCCAGCTGGGCTGCCTCTTCTGGCCTCTGACCACCTGCTCTGGAGTCCAGAGGGGAAATGGGGTGGGAGGAGACTCCCTGGAGCCAGACCATCGTCAGTCCTGGGGTTGCCACCCTGTCCCCTCCGTGGGGTCACTGAAGGCCACTGCTAGGTTCCCTGGTGTCCAGGGACTTCCCTGAGTGATGTTAGCATCTTTCAGCCAAAGCCTTCTGATGCTTTAGTCTTGGCTTAGGTCCTCAGTTCCCTGGCTGTAGTCCCTTTCTGCCCTCCAGACAGCCTGGTTCTTGCCTTCTCCTCTATAGGATGCTTAGAGGGTGGGGGTGTGTCACCTAAGGTGCTGGAGGTCCTGGGGGAGTGGGGAGGGACAGGTTGTGAACTATAGCAGTTCCTAGAAGAGAAAGGCAAGAGGGTAAAGCAGATGTGGCCAGGAAGCAGGGCTCAGTACCACCTGCAGGAAGGAAGCCAGCAGCTGAGATCCAAGCTGTTTGGAGGCAGAGCCTGGAATTGACCCTGGGTGTGTGCAAGTGGGACATTCACTCTGTGGCTCCTTTGGAGCTGCCTGGCTCTCTGGCTCTCTGTGGCCCTTGTCTCACACGCCACCTCCTGGAACGAGAAGCTTGTTGCATGCCTTGGCTCTGGTTATCTCTTACTCCTCTGGCGAGATCAGGGAGATTCAGGGTGATATAGCCGTAAGTACCACTGTAATCTCCACTTCTGCTCAGGCTCAGCATCCCTCACCCTGATATGCTTGTCTGAGTCTGCAGCCTGGTAGGTGGCCTGCTCTTGTGCTCTGCAAGGACCATGTACTGGGTCTCTGTATTTACTACTTGGTATACAAAGGTGGAGTCTTCTGTTGGAGTCGTGGCTCAGGGCAATGACAGTGAGGACACAGCTGGGGTTGGGGGGCGGGGGGGGGGCGGC